TAAAATGGGACTAAAGTATATATGTGAGCTATATTTAAATCTGGACCCATTTCAAACTTAACAAAAAAACATTGTAAACTAAATTACATACCTGCTGCTAAATTTCGCGAATATAAAACAGGCATAGCCTCCTCGGTGCACCATTTACATAAAATCGGACGAAAAAATATATTTGGAGCTATATCTAAATCTGAACCTTTTTTAACAAAACTTCACGGATTTCAGCCTGTAGTATCGCTGTCCAAAATTTTGTCCCAATAGGACAAACATAGGCAGTATGGTGCTCAATTTAAATAAAATCGGACGAAACTAAATCTGAAATGATTGCAACAAAATATCGCATACATCAATTAGGACCCAATTCAGCACTCTCTTTAAAATTTTGTCTCAATCGTACAAATATTGGACGAAACTATTTACGGGAGCTATATCTAAATCTGAACCGATTCCAACAAAATTTCGCACACTTCAATCAGCACCGAATTTTGTACTCTGTGCAAAATGTTGTCTTAATCGGACCATTAAATATGGATTTTGGTGCACCATTTACATATAATCGGACGAAAGTGTATACGAGAGCTATATCTAAATTTGAACCAATTTCAATTGGGTTCATCCTTGGGCCAAACGGAGGACGGACGGACATGCATAAATCGATTCAGAAAGTGATCCTATGCATATTCCCAAAAGGAACCATGGGTCTATCTCGATTTTTTTTTCATTACAAATATACCCACAAAGACATAATACCCGTGGTACAGTGTGAGATGGGTATAATAACAGAGTATTGTGCAATAAAATACCACAGTGTGTGTATTAACATGTTTAGATCACCGTCAAATTTTCTGTATTTTGAAAGTCCTGGCATTTTTATCTATTCGTTGTAACTATACTTTGTTAAATTATATTTATATATTTACAAACATTGTCCTGTATTTATTTTTTTTGATCCAATTTCGTGGGAAAATGCGGTTAATATAAATAAATATATTCAAACTACTGAAAATAGGCAGGATCTATATAGCGACAATGCCAAACCCTGTACCTATGTTATACATTGTCTGCATAGATACATGTCCTCCTTCAAATACCCGCATTACCAAAATATAGTCCCATTGTGGAAAGATGCGCTTAAAACCATCAAAGTATTGAAAATATATTGGGCACTATTAATTTCTGAGCAGATGTATGCCAGCCTCCAAAACCTCCAAATGTCAAATTAGAACCTTTTCGACTACAAATTGGCTTGGAACTCCATATAGGGACTATGTCAAAACATGGACGAATAATGATAATGCGAAGTTGTATGCCAGCCTCGAGACACCTCGATATACGAAAATTAGGCAGGATATTTATATGAGGGCTATGTCATAACATGGGCATATAACGATTTTTCTAAGCAGATGTATGTCAGCCTCCCCCAAGAAGCCAAATTAGAGCCTTTTCTATAGGAAATTGAAGCTTAAATCCTCAAATATTGTCGAATATTGGGCGGGACATTTGTATGGGAGCTATATTAAAAGATAGACTCATAGAAGACATTTTATTACGGCCCTTTTGATTGGAAATTATAAAACCTTCAAAATACCGAAAATTTGTCGGTACCGTTATATGGGAGCTTAAGCAAAACGTGGACCAATCTACCCAATTTTCACTAAACAGATCATGAATGTATGTATTTTAGGGGTCTCCGACTACTAACCTATAACCTTTACTATTGCTGAGCATTAAAAATACTTCCGAGTTAAATTAGAAACTAAGCATTGTTTCGTGGCAGACAGGCCTTCCTTCATACACAGGTATTTTCTGCAGGCGTTGCCTACCTTTTGAACCACTCAAACTTATAATACCCACACAAGATAGTGCAGGATATAAATATAATTATTTATACCTAAGGGAATTAATTCAAATTAAAAGTTATTGAAAGATGCTTTCCACACACGTGCCACATAAATGTTTAAATCTTAAAATGATCTTTGACCACCCAAACTTTTTCTTCTAATATGCCAACAGGGATTTCAGTCACTGTGCGATAATATAAACACAATGCTATTATATAACAGAAACACACATAAAACCACAGAAAAACTCAATACTTCAACCGAATGACTTAAAGAATCTCAAAATTATACTGCCTTTCCATCTCCCCCCATTCACAAGAACATCTCTGCAAGTAGAGCACGCACAATTTATAACATAAAAATCCTTGTTAAAAATTTAAGGGCAAAATATAACCGCCAATTTTTTCTCTTATTTTGTTCTCATTTTTTCTTCTTCTTTTCGTTGTTGTAAAAAATTGTTACAACGATTCCCAAGAATATTTATTAGCACTCCAGTTTGCCAAAGGCAAACTAGAGAGTGGGTGCAATTTATGTAATGTCCCATGAATGCAGACAAGATATAAAAAACGAAATTCAATGTCATACAAATTTCTTGTAATTACTTAAATTGGTCTATTTATTATTCGTCAGTTAAACGTAGAAAAGCGTGTAGAAAATGTTTCGAAATGTGTAACAAAATAAGAAGAATAAGAAAATTATGGTCTTAATCTATGTACATACACTCATGGAGATTATAAATATATAATATGCATATGTCATATTTTCAAAGAAATTTAAAACATTCAAAAATATTCATTAAATGTGAGGTTTTGTAAAGAAATTTAAATATAATTCGATATACAATGAAGAATATTATATTTTGTTGCACAACATGCTTTAATTTGTGTTAATTTTGATAAATACATTTTCCTACCATTTATTTTTAAATATATGTCCTGGTAACTGTGTTTTTTCCAAATTTTATTCTAGATAATCATGTAGTGAGCTGAAGAGGTCGTTTAGTGCAGCCGTCTATGTATTGATAAATCTACATCAATCCAGCGGTCACAATTATGTACCGATTGTCACGATTTTTTGGGTAAGGTTTTGGCTCCCATGAGGGTGGTAGATTAATGTTTGCTTGCCACTCTCCTGGCCACAATTATGATTTGAGCACCAAAAAAAAAAATTATAAGGGGATGAGATCTGTCTCCTTCAAATGGACCACGATTGTGACAAAATTTCAATTCTATGATGTATATGTTTTCGTTTACAGAGATCATAAAGGGTTTTTTGGCGTCTAGAAAAACAAAATGTCATTATTGCCTAATATTTTTAAACTAATTTTTAGACAATCAAAAAAAGTTCTGAGACCATTAGCTTGTTTTTTTTGGTTAGAAAAAGTTCCCGATCCTCTTAGGTTGTTCCTGAGACCCTCAGTTCAGTTTTATTGTCAAGGAAGAACTACCTGAGAACCTCAGGTAGGGGTGTTTTATCCAGAAATAAATCAATTTGGCACAGCTCATCTATTTGGCCTAAGGACGAACCCCCATGACATTGAGAAAAATCTGTTCAAATTTTGATATAGCTCCCATATATGTTATAGTCCGATTTAATGTAAATTGTATACCAAACTCCATATATATCTTTCAATTTGTACGATTTTAGTAAATGGTGCACCAAAGACACAATGTTGAGCCTATTGGCACAAAATTTTGCACCGCGTATTGAAGTTACTATAGTATAGGGTGTGTGTTTTGTTGAAATCGGTTCAGATTTAGATATAGCTCCTATATATATTTTCGTCCGATGTTACATGACTGGTGCACCACATACACAAAGTTAGGCTGATTGACACAAAATTTTGCACAACGTACTGAAGATAGTATAACCAAAGTGTTTAAGTTTTGTTGGAATCCGTTCAGCTTTAGAAATAGCTCCCTTATACAGTTTCGCCTGATTTTAAGTAGGACCTAAGGACCCAAAATATGGCCAGGAACAAAATGTGATAAAGCCTAACCAGGTACAAGTTTCGTTGAAATCGGTCATATTTGGATATAGCTTCTATATCTATTTTCGTAATATTGCCATGAAATTTTGCACAACGTATAAAATTGAGCATAGAATGACGTAACTGCGTTTTGTAGAAGTACAGATATAGCCCATATATTTCGGACCGACTTCGTGTTAATTGGGCTCCAAATATTCAACGGGTGTCCGATTGATATTTATTTTAAATCGATTTACATAATTTTGTGTCATTTAAACAAATGAATGACATTTTTATGGATTGATCTATGTCGGTACATATTTCGATAAAGGTCACATATTATAGTTCAGCCAATTTCATATTTATGGCCCTTCTTTTAAAATGCATCTGTGTAGTATGCCCATAGTCGGCCCAGTCCGACTTTACTACTTTCCTTGCTGATTTTATAAATACAAATACATTGTCTCAATTTTTGTATAAAAAAGTTCCCAGAAAAACCCTATGACCCCAGGGTAGATTTTCTATAAAAAAAATCTGCAACCTTTTGCTAAATATTTTCTAATAAAAATCCTTTGACCATTCATATTTCCTAATATTTTCTGAAATCATTGGTAAATTGTCTTAAAAAATTAATCCCTGAGAACCATGCGACATCTTTTATATAAAAACTCTCCGGTGCAAGTTTTATTCTAAACATTACTAGAACCATTTGATTAATAATTTCTACAGAAAAAATGCTGATACCTTGGGTAATAATATATAAATGTGTTAATATACACCCCCAACCAACTTTACCACCCAATTATTTTAAAGGCTTCAGACACGTTATTCAAACGTATCTGTTTTTTAGTTAGTATCTAAGATACTTTTTTACAAATTTCATTGTATATAGATCTCCTTTTTGATATCGATTTATTTTTGATATTTGAGGTTAAAAATTTTCATTTCGTTCCAAATATTAAATTTGAAAAGTCTTATTTTAAGAAAGAAAATATTAACGAAAATTTAAATTTTTTTAATTATTTTATTATAAAAAGGGTATATAAATAAATATGTTTATACAAAAACATTAAATAAATACAATATAGAAATGAAACAAAGACGCAAAATTAACAATGATTTAACAAATGTTGCACTAAATACAAAATGCATGGCCAGTACAAAATTTCAATGAGAACAAACGTCCCCATTTAACTCTTTTGTGTACTTTCAATATCTTTGCCAGTACTTCTGCCATAATAACCGGAATAAGCAGCATCTTGAGCAGTATTACCAAAGCTGACGGTATTAGCCGAACCACTATCTTGATAATTTTTACTATAATAATCACCATAAGGTTTAGAGAATTGTGGTTCTGGTCTATAGCCACCATGTTCATAATGATCATGATGATGATAGTAGGTAGCTGGACCAACACCCTGAGGCGAATATTGGGTAAATGATTCCTTGCCAGCAAATAAACCAGAGAATAGACCACCACCTTGATGAGCACCAGGAGGACGACAGAATTTGAAGTAGGCAAATACACCGGGTAGAATAATGGCAGCCAAACTGAGAACTTTCTTAAGGCCAACAATGCCCAAAATGAAAGGCAAGAAGAGCAGCAATTTCAGCTTGAAGATTTTCAATACCAACAACAGGGGGATGATCAATTTCTTCAACTTCTTGCGTTCTACAGATGGAGGAGGAGAGAGAGAGTTAGAGAGGAGGATGATTAGTTTTGAGGTGACAACGTTTTTGGATAATGCAGTACTTACTCAATGTGGAAGCATGCTTTTCTTCAATAATATCCAATTCACTATCAATGTCATTGCCAATGAAACGTGCTTCATAACGACCAGCTTCTGTTAGTTCTTCTGGTACTTCAACTTCCAAGGCAGTGGATTTAATGAATCTGAAGAGGAAATTTAAATTAAATTTTGTTTTAATTAAATATTAAAATATAAAGTTAAATTAAAATGTTTTAAAAAGCATGAGCATACAATTATCCACATACATAATCTATGAACACAGAGTTTCAATTATTAATAATTAAATACTAAATGTGTCATAAGAAATTTATAATAAATTTTCCAATATAATATTTTAATTTTTAATTGCTTTAAAAAATCCATGTCCCAAATCCAAAATCCCTTTTTATATCGCAAGTTGTGTCTTCACAAAAATACCACATTTTTACAGTAGCAAATAAATTGTAATAATAATTATAAGGATGCTTCACACAAATTTCTCAGAAATAAATACAAATTTAGGAAATCTCGTAAAAACAAGGTGTAAATAGGACACATGTCCTACATGTCACACCATTTTTATTTTTTTTCTAGACACGTGTTAGAGTTAATTATAAAAAAAGTTAATATTAAAGCCATAAATTCTGAGAACTTATTAAATACGTACACAAAAATCTCAAAAATTACTACTAAAACCCATATTAAATACATCATGTTGTGAACATTAAATTTAAAATTGTCTACATATAAGTACATTGAATTCATGCACCACAATCTTTTCATTTACACCTATATGAACACATGTATCAACATTTTGTACAACATTATTTTGTTCATATCATCTTCAATAAAAATATAATTTATTCATATTAAAGTCCCATTTGAGATGTTCTACGATTATCAGCTGCACGCACTTTCTTGGGTGTGTATTAATTTGGGTTATGGCAAAAATTGTTGGAACCAAAGAAACAACAGTAAGGAAAGGAATTTAATCGGACGAAGTGATATAAAAATCATTTATGCTTTGGGAAATAAATAATTGATGGTAGCTTCGATTTATAAACGATTTGACTATATATATGCATCATTTATATGAAATTGCACGAACTTATTATGGGAGATAGATATTGTTCTGAATCGGCTCCATTTAGCCCCCTAGTGGGATATCGCAAATCTATGTCCTATCTGAGGGACATTAAATGGGATTACATTGTCTGTTCCGACATAGACTTGTTGCTATGTTCTATGCCAGGATGTCTCATGGTTAGTACAACTCATCCAAAAAAAATAATAGTTTTCGAAAGATCCCATCGATGCCAGAGCCACCAATTTGCCGTGAAGTGGCTAAATAATGGTGTCCAGTAAGTGAATCAAGGTTTAAATCTGAAGTAAAAAAAAAATTGCTCAGAGAAAGTTTTTTCCTCATCGTTGTTGGTTGGAAAAAAAAACACAACCAGATTTACCTTAAGAATGTTAAAAAAACTATTTATACCCTTCATCACACTGTGGTACAGGGTATTATGTCTTATGTTTGTAACAGGCAAAAATAATCGAAATAGACCCATGGTTCCCTTTGAGAATATGCATTGAATCACTTTCTGAGTCGATTTATGCATGTCCGTCCGTCCGTCCATGTATTTTTGTTAACAAAGTACAGATCGCATTTATGATCCGATTTGGATGAAATTTGGCGCAGGTCACTTAATTGGCCCAAGGACGAACCCTATTGAAATTGGGAAAATTCAGTTCTGATTTAGATATAGCTCCAATATATATTTTCGTCCGATTTAAGGTGAATAGTGTACCAAAGTCCCTATATATCTTTCGATTTGCACAAAATTTGGCACAGCGTACTGAATTAGGTCTAGAATGATGTGTGTTAAGTTTCCTGAAAATCGGTCCAGATTTAAATATAGCTCCCATATATATTTTCGTCCGATTTTATGTAAATGGTGTACCAGAGACCCTATATATCTTTCGATTTGCACGAAATTTGGCACAGCGTTATGAATTAGGTCTAGAATGACGTGTATTAAGTT